CCCGCCTTAGGCATGAAAGCTGGTTGGGTGACTTTGGGCCAATCACCCGGAGACAGTGAGTTCTAGTCCCACTTCAGGTACAAAAGACGGCTGGCTTACTTGTGAAAACAATCAAGGCAGGATATAAATCTATAAATCCACCCCTAAAGCTTTCCTCCGAATATGATGCCCCCCTCCTACCCGGCTCATCTGTCTTGTCCTCTTTCTTCTTCCTCCTCCTCCTCTTCCTCCTCCTGAGCAGAAGCTGCTTCTCCTTCAGGACGGCCAGGACATCGATGGGACCTCCAAGACCGGCAAGAGACACCGGAAGTCTGAGAGCCGCGTGGCCCATGAGGGGCGCCACCCACCCAAGGCCAGGCGGGACCTCTCAGGCGCCTTCTCGGCCTGCGAAGAGCAGCCGGCGCCTCCCGTGGACTCCTGGGTGCTCCAGACCCTGGGGCTCAAGGACGTGGACACCGTGGATGAGTCAGCTAACTACAGTGCCTCGACCCTGGACCCCTCCCCTGTGGGGTCTTCCCTTTGGGGTCTCCCCTTTGGGGCCCCCCACCTGGGCCTCTGCGAGAGCCAACCTGGCGAAAGCATCCCCTTCACCCCCCCAGCGGACAACACTGCCGGCCCCTTCCTCTCGCTCTGTCCACCGCCTTGTCGCTCTGACCGCCCCTCGCCAGCCAAGATGGGCGTGGCCTTCACCACGTCCCTGAGCCCCCATTGCAATGTGAAGACCCACAGCTTCCGCCAGGGACAGGCCTTCGTGCGCAGGGATGAAGACGGAGGGTGGAAGCTCACCTGGGTGCCCACCCAGTCGGAATGAGGCCTTTCCCTTCCGTCCCAGGCGGCCACCGGTCCCACCGTGCCGTAGTAGGTTTCTTCTACTTGAGCAAGGGGGTTGGACTAGAAGACCTCCCAAGGTCCCTTCCAACCTGGTGAGGGTCGGAACCATCCAACCCTGTTCTAACTGCCAGTGAAGGATGTGTTTACAGAGGGGGGGGTCGTTTCCTTCTAAGGTCTCATTGACTCTACGTTGCACTTGCTTCGAGGACGGAAGGATTATAATCCTAAGGATTGTCGTGATTATGTTGGCAAGGTTCATACACAGCCATAGGAAGGTTGGCCATCAGGGCCACGCAAGGTGCCACAGACGAAGAGCGGGCCAGGAGCAGAAAGGGCCTCCAGATGCGAGGGAGAGAAGCTGCTGAGATGCTGCCTCCTAAATCCCTGGCGTCTTCTGAACTCTGAAGAGATTGCCATGACCGGTTCGGTTCTAGAAAAAGGTTCTTGCTTGGAGGGACCTGTCAACTGACCTGGAAGGCATGGCCTCGATGGAGTGAACCGGTGAGAGGAAACTGTCCATCTTGCCTGGACTTGGAGACACCTTTACATGCTCAGCACTAGCCTTCCAAAACTGTTCTGAGATGCCTGCTCCCTGGTACGGCTGCTATTGTTGTGTTAGTACCAGAACTTGGAAGAGACACTACCCACAAATGCCTGAAGAAGACCTCTGCAAGGTTCAAAGACCGGTCAGTTGACTCCGATGAAGGAAAGCTTCTTGTGAAGGATCTCGTGGTGGCCACTCTCTCCTGGCTCTCGAAGGCCTGCTATGCTGCTCCTGCCTATTTTATTATTATTATTATTTTGATGTGCCCTAAATGGGGAGCGTTCTCTGATGAGTCCCATCTGCCAAAAAGTTTTGGAAAAGTTAGGAAAGGTATAGCTGATGGGCTAAAATTAAAAAGGGGAGAATTCGAAAGGTCTAGAATTTGGGGGAAATATTAGGAGAGATGTAGCAGATGGGCTAAGATCAAGAAGGGGGGGAGGAATTCAGAAGATCTAGATCAGGGGGGGTCCCCAAACTTGGCCACTTTAAGACTTGGGGACTTCCACTCCCAAAGTTGCTAAGGTTGGCTGAGGAATTCTGGGAGTTGAAGTCCCCAAGTCTTAAAGTGGCCAAGTTTGGGGACCCCTGATCTAGAACTTTGGAAAAATTAGGAGACATGATGGATGGATGAAGGTCAATGGGAGAATTCAGAAGACCTAGAACATTGGAAGTTAGGGGAGACATGGGTGACGGGCTAAGCTCAAGAGGAAGAATTCAGAAGATCTAGAACTTTGGAAACGTTAGAGATGTAGCTAAAGGGATATCAAAAGGGAGAGAATTCAGATCTAGAACACTGGAAAGGTTAGGAGAGACGTAGCTGAGGGACTAAAGTCAAGATGGGGAGAATTTGGAAGACCTAGAACTTCAAAGCTCTCTGGAGAGCAGGTTTCTAGAGAAGATTTTCCCCAGGGTGACCTCCTTGGTGCTCCTTTTTTTATACTCCATGGAGTTGATGCAACTCGATTTGTCGGTCTCTTTCTAGATGTTTTCTAGGTTTCTCAGCTTCAATTGATTTTATCCAGCAGAGTCTGGATAATGGACAATTGTGAGATTGCCTCGTGTTTATTACAGCTATTCTTGTGATTATTACAATCAAAATAATTGGCCCTTTGGATCTCTGCCTGATATCTTTTTTCCTAAATTAAGATCGCATAGAGAGAACAATAGAGAGAGAGATGTTTCCAGTATCTCTTCTTCGAGCAATAAAGTAAAATATTAACTTCCCAGGTTGGATCATCGTTTTCTGCATTGATTCCAAAATTTTGTTTAGCGCGAAAGCATCCATAAATGGGAATAAGGGGGTTTTGGGGGCACATGGACAGATGCGTGCCGTTCTCACTTGGCACTCTCTTGGGGATTTCTTGATTTTTCTCATTCACTTGGGTTCAAACTTTGATTTTTCTAGGCTAATTGCCCCAAAGGAATGAGGGCTGGGGTGGGGGGCACACTGGCTAATTCCAACCTTCTGGATTGGTGTCTTTCGACTTTCAATCTGGAAAGCTGCCTGGGTGCTATGGGGTGTCTATTAATTAATGGCTATTAAATTAGTGCAGTCTTTCTCTCTCCCCACTCTCTCTCTTTCTCTCTCTCTCTCTCTCTCCCTCTCTTTCTCTCCCTCTCTCTCTCCCTCTCCTTCTCCCTCTCTCTTTCTCCCTCTCCCTCTCCCTCTCTCTTTCTCTCTTTCTTTCTCTCTTCCTCTCTCCCTCTCTCTTTCTCTCCCTCTCCCTCTCTCTTTCCCCCTCTCTCTCTCTCCCCCTCTCCTTTTTCTCTCTTTCTCTCTTTCTCTCTCCCTCTCTCTCTCCCCCTCCTTCTTCCTCTCTCTCTTTCTCTCTCCCTCTCTCTCTCTCTCTCTCCCTCTCCTTCTCCCTCTCTCTTTCTCCCTCTCCTTCTCCCTCTCTCTCTCTTTCTTTCTCTCTCCCTCTCTCTTTCTCTCCCTCTCTCTTTCCCTCTCCCTCTCCCCCTCTCTCTCCCCCTCTCCTTCTTCCTCTCTCTTCCTCTCTTTCTCCCTCTCTCTCTTTCCCCCTCTCTCTCTTTCTCTCTCCCTCTCTCTCTCCCCCTCCTTCTCCCTCTCCCTTTTCCTCTCTCCCCTCCCTCTCTCTTTCTCTCTCTCTCTTCCTCTCCCTCTCTCCCTCCCTCTTATCTCATCATCTATCATTTATCTATTTATCTACTTATCATCTCTCTCTCTCTCTCTCTCTCTCACACACACACACACACACACACACACATACACACACCACAGAGACAGACAGACATCAAATACAAACTGAAAATTCCCGACAGTGAGAACAACTTAATCAGAAATTGTGAATGCTCCAACACTGGAGCTTTTTTAAAGAAGAGACTGGACAATTATTTGTCTGGAATGGTATGGCGCCTCCTGCTTCACAAGTGGGTTGGACTAGAAGACCTCCACGGTCCCTTCCATCTCTGTTATTCTACGATTCGAGCCAAACGGATTCAGGAATAATGAGCCAGTGGAACAGAAGTTGCCTCCAGAAGTTGTGGATGCTCCATCACTGGAGATTTTTGAGAAGAGATTGGACAGCCATTTGCCTGGAATGTATGGGGGTTGGACTAGAAGACCTCCAAGGTCCCTTCCAAGTCTTTTATTCTGAAAGTGTTTTTGATTACGTACTATCAAGTCAAGGTTGACTTTTAGCGGCCACAAGGACAGATCTTCTCCAGGGTGAAAGGTTGTCAGTTCCTTAGAGCAGAATTCTGGGAGTTGAAGTCCTTCTGGCTTAAAGTTGCCAAGGTTGGAGACCCCCTGCCTTAGAGAAAGACTCTCCAAAGGAAGTGAGTCTGAATATTATTTATTAAATATTAATAAATATTTGCATTATACAGATATGCAATATTGGTAGCTCTGCTGGCTGGAGAATTCTGGGAGCGGAAGTCCCCAAGTCTTAACGCAGCCAAGATTGGCCACTTTGATTCCAGGCTGGCAAGGCTACCCTCCTGCCTTAAACCTTTCAACTTTGAACCCCTAAAAAAACGGGTCCCCCCCCCCTTTGAATTGGACTGCTCCTCCTGAAGTCGTGGTTTTGCTGGAGGAGGGAAGACTTAAGAGGCTCACCCCGCAGAAGGCTGGCCAAACACCCATGGCAAGAGGGTTAGATTAGCAGAGTTGGAAGGGACCTTGGAGGTCATCTAGTCCAACCCCCCTCACCCAAGCAGGAGACCCTACACCATTTCTGACAGGTGGCAGTCCAGGCTCTTCTTGAAATACTCCAGGGATGAAGCTCCTACAATTTCTGAAGGCAACTTCTGTTCCAATGATTAATTGTTCTCACTGTCAGAAAATTCCTCCTTATTTCCAGGTTGAATCTCTCCTTGTTCAGTTTCCACCCATTGTTCCTTGTCTGGCCTTGGAGAATAGCTTGACCCCTCCCTCCTCCTCTCTGGGGCAGCCCCTCAAATATTGGAAGATGCTCTCCTGTCTCCCCTGGTCCTTCTCTTCCCTAGACTAGCCAGGCCCAGTTCCTGCAACCGTTCTTTTTTTTTTAAAAAAAATATTTTTTAATTTTTATTTCTATACATACATCATTGTATGAACAGTGTGGGTTCCAGGTCATTTAACATTTTGAAACAAACATAACCATATTTTCATATTCGTACTATTAACTTTCTTGTCTAATTTAGTATTCCTATGTAGTATCAATTTTTATCATTCAATATTCTCATGTGCTACTTTATATCAACCACTATATTCTTTTTATTTATTTTTTGTTACACATATTCCCTTAATACTCATATTTGCAATATTTAATAAATTGTATTGTTTAAATCATCATATAAGTTCATATAGAATAGAATTCTTTTATTGGCCAAGTGTGATTGGACACACAAGGAATTTGTCTTGGTGCAAATGCTCTCAGTGTACATAAAAGGAAAAGATACACTTGTCAAGAGTCAAGAATCATCAGGTCTAACACTTACTAATAATAGTCATAGGGTACAAATAAGCAATCAAATCATACTAGGAAACAGTCAATATAGATTGCAAGGATACAAGGGACAAAGTTAGTCATACAGTCACAAGTAGGAGGGGATGGGTGATAGGAACAATGAGAAGATTAATAGTAATAGTAGTGCAGACTTTGTAAATAATTGGACAGTGTTGAGGGAATTATTTGCTTAGCAGAGTGATGGCGTTCAGGGGAAAATATTAAAAAATATTAATTTATATTATGCAGTGTTTATCCCCTTTTTAATATTAATTGTGCTACTATTATATTTTAAGACAAAATCTCTCTCTGATCTCATTGTGATACACAAATCACAGTTTCCATCTTATTTTCATTTAACAAATGATACATTCTGATAGTAATATCATCATTTATATCTATTAACAGACACCAGGGGCTCCCAAACTTGGCAACTTTAAGACTTGGGGACCAATTCCCAGAATTCCACAAGTTGAAGTCCACAAG